AATCACAGGATATTCCACACCTTTGTTGGAAGGCTTAAGAGACCACTGATTTGGTCCAGAGTGGGAATTCTCATACTTCCATCCTGCAGTAGTCACCAAGACCCTCTGCAACCTGAATGTAAATGAATAACTGGACTAATAGCAGAGAGGACTGGTGATAAAGTATGGAGCTTCTTAATCACTACAATTACAGTTAATGAAATATCAATAGACAGAAGCAGATAGTAAAAATACAATAGTATACTTTGAATTAACAGAGGGCTTCCCAGTAAAATGGGATGGTATTAGAGCATTCTGCTGGGACAGCTTATTCCATTAATTTGTCCTTATTTAAAAGTCTCCACAGATGCCCAACATACTCTGGACAACCTTCCCACAATTAACAGTCTTACTGTTTTTTCTTTGCTGAGCTTAAGGAAGACAATACCATTTATTTAATGCAGATTAAAATACACATTGATAATGAAGAACAGATTAGTGAAGTCTTAGTTAATTACTATTTTCAGTACAGTTCACTATCAATTAATTATATTATCACGTAATAGCTAGCATACATCTGTTCCCAATTGGTTAAATACTTCTACAGCTATACTCCTACTGAAACCAACAGCAAAATTCCCATTGCTGAAAAAAGCTTTAATGAAGCCCCTAACACTCAGGAAAACAAGGCTAGTCATGTATACATCACGTTGCTTTGCTAGAATTTGGGGCTTCAAACAAAGTAAAGCAAAGTTGCTCTGTTGTATATAGCACAGCTGAAGCTATAGGACAAGCCCTATCTGCCACACAGGAGTGCACTAAAGCACAGGTTCAAAGGAGTTTATCAGTGGAATTAAGAAGCTAAATTTATGCCATAACTTGGGTTATGGCATATATAAAAATCCTCAGATCATGGACAGTGTTTTTAACATAAGGACTCTGTGTTTGGAAAAGTGGCAAAAAGCATGCTAGTTATCAAATACATACAACTGCAGCAGAGTAACTGAACCCCAGATACAGAAGAGACAATCATTGTTATGAATTTTCATGTTAAAGAATCATTGAAAAATAAGAATAAGCATTTTTCAAAAATATTAATATGCTGGGATTTAATGGTTAGCTCTACCCCAGATATTGTCATTATTACACAAACTAATACCACATCACAGCTGCTCAAGACATTGCTCAGAAGAACGTATCGTAACTTTGGGTTTTATTTAATTTTTCACCCTTTTCAGTCTTTAAATGCCTAAAGACAAGATCTTCTATGGCTCTTCAGATAAGAAAATCTTGAATTAACAGCTATACACTTGAAGTTGTTCTTCCCCTTAACAACATTCACTGGCATTTTAAATAAATTGCTAATCCCTTTAGCAAGCAATTGAAGACACTGGAATTGTTTCCTCAGTATGCGTCTTTCAAGAAATAATACCAAGATGCCGACCTTGTAACACTATTTGTGGACAACCTGAGAGTATTCATCACATGCACAGAGTCTAAGTCATGCTCCAGAAATTCTTGAAGTCTGCACTCGGGGTGCGCACGACCTTGGGAGAGAGTCAAGGTTCATTTCTTGCTGCAGCCTCCTCCAGTAACTGGTGTACAACCTAAAGCACCTATTTCATTGCTTTATTAGACTCACAAAGCTTATTCACTGCATCACTGCCCTCTGCCTCACTGCTAACACAAGTGAGACACATCAGCACAGAATGCCTCATTAGCCAAAACCTGTGATTTACAGAACATTAATGTCCTCTGACCACTCTGTGCTCAAGTGTACAATAAGTTTACTGGACGGAGCAGTTGGTCCAGGCCGATTTAAATCAAGGCAGACAGACCCGTTCTGAAGAAATTGAAGTTGCAGAATACAATTCTGAATGTTGTACAGGGGACCTTTTGTGCTTTGGGTTTACACATTGTACAGAAATTTCAGAGTCCAATTTGTTCTCCAGTGCAATTTCAGAGCACTGCTCTACCCATCAAAATAATGTATGTCACAACCTAAGAGACTTGTCCATAAAGATAAGCAACTTTTTTAAAAAAATAATTTCATTCTACATTACTAAAGCTAGCAGACTGCTCCTTTAGGTTGTTAACATGTAACATTTTATTTTCAGCAAAACAAAATAATCTTTCCATCTCTTAGTAAGTTAGCAAAAACCAAATTACTCTCAGGTAAATAAAGTTCTGTTAAATTTATCTATCCATGAAGTACTAAATTTTAGTTTCTCTGCTGAATGATTACACCATTGTCCACATAACAATTGGCAATTTTTTCCTCTTTACTTTCTCCTCCTTAAAAAGATTGAATTATTTTTTTTTTTTTGTAAGATACTAGAAATATCCCATTTCAAGTTTTCCTATTCCAAACTTCCAGATTCAAAATGTTTCTCATTTTGCTTGCATTAAGCTTCTGGTTTCACAATTAAAACACATAAAATAGATCTCAGGATGTCACCAAAATGTGTAATGCTACCATGATGCATGTTTAAATTTAGGCAGACAAGTAATTAATACTGATTAAAGTCAGTATCTGCAAAGTCAAACACATAAGCCAAACGAAAGGTTTAATATTGTTTCTGTGCTCAGCTTCTCAAGTGCATTCGTAGCCATTTATCAAAAATGTTAAATCACCTGCATCCCATTTAAAAAAATACAGTTCCAAGATACTAAGTGTGCTGTACAGATATTCTTGGGAGTACCACAGAGAGATATACCACAGATTAGTTGTTCAGGGTGTGCCTCTCTTCCTAAAACACAAAAAACATCTTAATAGCCCAATGAAGAGAACTTGAACTGTACTTGAATTATATTGAACTACTGAATTAAGCTAAAAGTAGCAATTCTCTTGTTTAACACCATGGTTGAATACAAGAAATCACTTTGTACAGAAACTTGAATTTGGTACTCAAGCAAAATCCTACCGACTTGGTAAGAGTTTTATGCAAGGAACTATAGTGATCCTTCAAGCACTTCAGAATTAGTAAGTGTTAGTAAGGCCTGCAAGCATTTGCAAAACTGGAGCCTGAAAATTTGGCCCTTTATCTATCTATTTAGAATAAAAGAAAAGGAAATACTAGTTTATGCTGCATTTGTTGAATTCCTAGATTAATTAAGATAATTTATTTACAATATTTCAAAGGGTTTGCAGTTTTTCAATCATCCTATATCTGACCTACATTTGTAATCTCTCATTCCTGTAATGAATTTTAGGTATAGGATATAAAACTAATTTTTGCTGAAACAGCTTTACAAAGACAATAATCATACTTCATGCTCCAAAGCATACAATAATGACTAGTAAAATTATGAAGGACCCTAATTATTGCATTACTTCTATACAAAATACAAACTCCTTTGAAATATAGGAGCAACATATTTGGGCTTTTTTTGTTGTTTTCTAACATCAGCAGAACTATGCATTTAATAGATTAAAAACTGAAAAACAGAAAAAAAAATCAAATAACAGCAAAACACCTCCCATGCAATAATTCCATTGAACGCAACACTCTGGATTATTAAAAATGATCTAGGTAGACTAAGCATAATCTAAAAAAACTCTGCTAAACAAAAAGTTTGACAGAAAGGCCAGCTGACTTTTAATTATACTTTAATTGAAACATATTTATCTAAATGAAAAACCCACTATGAACACACAAACTACACTCACCATGCAGGCTGGGCAAACTCAAAAGTATGTTTTGAAACGCGGATGTACCTAAAATATGGGATTTTTTTTTTTTTTTTTAAGATTACAAGAACTGAACTAAACCAGTATATTTCAGATTTGGCAGGGGAGATGAAGAGGTTGATAATATACTAAGTAATTCAGTACTTCATCCATATGAACTTAGTCTGACTGCAGTTCAATTAGTCTATACCACCTGAATAATTTTTACAATGGAAAAAACATAATGTATAGCTCATTAGTTTCCTAATCATTTCCTCTTCCTTTGGGACAAATAAAAAGGCATCTTTGCAGTTCACCTCTGAATAGGGCTGTGCATAATACTACTTCAAGAAACATTATCACAGATCTGCTGAATACAGTGATCAGTGTCTTCACCTATAGATACACCACAGCATCTGACACTGTTTTGACAGCATCTAATATATATTTTACAATCTAATAAAAGAATCTGCAACAGAGAAAAGTACTATTAATTTATATTACAAGACACTGTAGTATACATTTATAGCATTTCTCGACTATAAGTTAGGAATAATATTCATAAATATCAAGAACAAAGCCCCTAAATCAAAACAGTAACTTAAAAAGAACCGAAACAGATTTTTAGAAGACTGCAAAGTGCTTTGAAAACATTAAGAACAAAACTCAACTGTTGCCCCCAAATTTCTTGCTATGAGTCCTGTTTATTCACATCTCATCCTTGAAGGGCAGACAATGCTAAATTTATGACAGCACAATGTCTCAGATATTTATCAAAGGTTCCTCTCACTCGCATTAAATCCCCCATTGTTTCTCTACATAGCCAACACTAGAAATAAATAAAAAAGTAAAAATTAAATATGTTTTTTTCTCTGCCTGTATATTCAATTTTATTTACAATGCCTTCAGAGATAGAAAGACGTCATGGTACAGTTACACCAAACTACCGACAATAATCTCACTTGTTTACTAAGACTACGAATACAAAAAAAAGTTATACAAACTTTAATAATTACACACTAAATTTTATAACCATCACAAAATGACAAAAGAGTTATCAACTTTAAAATATAGGAAAAAAAATACATATCTTAAAGAACAACGAAGTTACTAAAAATATATATTTTTACTGTACCTCCTTTAATTTTTTTCCCAGAGAGTTCATCTTTACAGATTATTAAAAAAAAAAAAATCTTCAGCCACGAGCCATTGTATTTTATTTTTATTAAAAAAAAAAGTAAAAAAAATTATAAAATATTTTGTTTTGGCCATTTGTCTCCCTTCTCCAAATTGACACTTTATAAAAACCTTCTGTACTTTTTTCCCCCTCCCTCTCTCCCTCGCTACTACCTCCAAGATGGTAGGAAAGTTGTTGTTTTGGAGGGCAGAGGAGCCGCTCTCTGATGTTATGTCCTCTCAGTGCCTGTAGTGGTGCTATAGGAGGCTGCTGGCTCTCTTCTTGAGCAGCCCCAGCAGCCCTGCCTTCTTTGCTGGAGAATATATTCAGGGATTCCCCTTAATAATCACCTACCCTCTGAGCACTTTGTAGTTTTAAAATAATAAAAGAGCCCCCAAAGCTTCCTCCCCACAAAAAGCTGGATCTTCTCAGAGACAGGGGGGCAGCAGCTCCTCAGCACAGAGCCCGAGCACATTCCCAGTCCCTCTGCTGGGGAGGAAACTCTGATCTGTCAGCCCAACAGAGGGAAAGGGGGGAGAGGAGAGAGAGGAGGGAAAAAAAAGCAGCTGGAAAGGTAAGCCAGGCCCGGCCTGCATCCCCGGGCTCGCGTAGCGCGGCAGGCGGTGCGGAGGGTGCAGGGCGGGCGGGGAGGCGGGCTACGCGAGGCCGGGGATCGGTCGGAGCGGCGTAGGCCGCAGTAGGGGGTGCGGGGAACCAAGGGGGTTTTTGAAGCTTTCGGGCGCCGGGAGGAGCGCCGGAGGGGGGTGAGACGGCCGCCGGGCACGGCGGGAGGGTCGGGGCGCGGCGCCTTTGCCCGGGAGGTGAAGGGCGGCGAGCGAGAACGAGGGCGGGGGGGCGCTAGGCCTCGGCGCGGCGCGGCCCGGCCGCTCCGTTCCCCGCCCCGCCGGGCCCCCCGCGCCGGGCCCCGGGCCCAGAGCGGGCCGAGCCCCGCTGCCGCCGGGGCCGGGCGGCCGGGGGGAAGCGGCGGGGGCGCCGCGGCTGGGGCCGCTCTTCCCCCCCCAGCCCCCCCGCGCCCCGCGCGGGGCGAGGGGGCCGCGGGACGGGGGGCCGGGGGCCGCATTAATTTGCCGAAATGACTTTTAACGAGCGGTGGCGGGGTTGGGGGGCACCCCCTCCCCCAGCCCGGTGCGGAGCCGCCGCGGCGGAGGCGGTGCCGGTCCCGCGGGGCTGCGCCGGCCGCGGCCTGGAAAGTTTCGCAGCGTTTTTGGGGTGCGTTCCCCCCCGCCGCCGCCGCCGCCCACCCCCCGCCCGCGGCCGTGGGGACGGTGCCGGCGGGGCGGGGGCGCCCCGGAATGCGGCCGCAGGTTCCCCCTCGCCCGTCCCGTACCCCCTTTTCCCCCCGTCGGTGACCCCCTTCGGCCGGGCCGGCGGCGGGTGGATTCGCCGCACAACTTTTTGGGAGGTAGCGGGGGGTGGTTTTGGGGGTGCGGGGAAGCCCTCGGAGGGTCCCCCCCGCCCCCGAAGCTGCCGGCACGTGGGGCGCCGGGCCGGCCCCCGGAGCGGGGAACGAGGGGCAGGGGCCGAGGGGCTGCCCTGGCTGCACCTTCCGTGCCGGGCACATGCCGGGGCCGGCGGCTGCCGGAGCCCCGCCGGGGCCGGGCTGGGGTCCCTCGGCCATCCCGCTGTGCCAGGACCCGCTAGCGGGACAGGAGCCGCAGCCCACTGGCACCTCAGCCAGGGGAGGGATCGCCTCGGGAGCCCCTACACCGCAAGGGCTGTGTCGGGGCCCCTGTCGTGTCCCTGTCGGCTCCCAGACTGTCCCTGTGGGCTGGGGTCCCGCTGGGCTGCGCGTCTGTGCGAGGTGCTGCTGCCCCCCAGATCTGAAAATGAAGGGATCCTTTTTTTCAGGGAAAAGAACGTCTGGTAGTTGTGAAGTGAGTGCACTGGAAGACCCACCATCGCACTTCACCCCGCACAGGTGAAATAGCTCCGGTTTCTAATGCGGGAAGTGGCACGTTTCAGTCAAATGTTCCTTAATATGTCTTTTATGGCTTTGTACAAGTAACCTCAAATGAATTTTGGTAGTGACAATGACACTCACCTTAAAGCCTTATATTATACTATCTGATTAAAATACATAGAGTTAGCTCTAACTTTGTTACTCAACAATGTGCAATGTAGGTTTATTTTATGGCCTTTCAGTTTTTGAGGCTTGGGGGACTTAAAAATAAAATTGACAAAATGAGGGCAATGCACTGTTCCCCTGTAGACAGGTGCCCTCCCCTGGGGACTCACCTGTAGTGGCAGTGTTTGTGCTCAGGCCACACCCCCAGGTACCACTGCTGATGGCCCAACTAGACTGCTCGTGTTTTGTATGAAGCTGTCTCTTACAAACTGGTGACATTCAGCCTTTCACATGAGCTGTTTGTAATATATTCAAAGATCACACAAGTTATATTAATTGTAAAGCTAAATTGTTTACAGAAAGCAATGCAAAATTTATGTACTGGAGGTTATTTTGATGTTCAGTATTTTCGTGATGAGTGATTGAATTTGTGTGTAGGACCTGGTCCTACAGAACTGTGTGTACCATGTTCTCATGGTATGGTAAATCATCGGGAGGTACAAATTTATTTTAAGACCACACTGAAACTCCAATAGCTTATACCTGCTGAAAGGCTCCTCTGTGAGGAGCTCTGTTGGTTTTTATTGAGTATTCCTACTAAAGCAAGAATTATACTGTATTATGAGAAAATAAGTTTATTTGTCTTTGTAGTATTGGGACTAAAAATAAGACAAAGGTATTTTGTTTAACCTCATCTGGAAAGGCGGGCTGTGTGTTATTTAAATAAATAAAAGACTTTGACTTACTTTTTTTTCCCCAAGTCCAGATGCAAGGTGTGATGTGGTATGTTTAATTTCTACTTTATCTCAGGATATTGCTTTTGGTATTTTGAGATAATGTTTTTAAAGTACATTTCTGCCATGTTGCAATGCCATAAAGGGTCCATTTGTTTCTGTATCTGAAAGCCACCTCTTTGCAGCCCTGCTCATCCTGGCAAAACCCAGGCCTGTTTATAACTACATTGAAATAACTGTGCGTGACAACCTCCCTCTGAAGATGTGATAGCAGGAGTGGGGCCTGGAGACCTTCTGCTCAGATAGAGAAATCCTTGTTCAAAAGACTTTCGAGATACACTGCCCATCTTGAACTTTAGGTCAGGAATAGCCATGTTTAGGAAATTACTTTTTTGAAATCTCTAAGAATGTACTCTTGGCAGTAGTTACAAATTTTCCTATGTAAGTTCTTTTTTCTTTAGAAATCATCCAAAGTTTCTAAAATTTGTAGTCTTAAATGCTTGTTGTTTTTAGGGTTTGGGCTTTGTCAGGTTTTTTCTAAGATACTATGAGGTACAGATGAGTGAATCAGCTGAAATTGAAATTCCTGATTAAGTTCATTTTGTATAGGAAAACAAAAAGAACCTGTTCAGTTTGTGAGCAAAAACTTCTTTTTTTCCTCCTCATAGTTACGTTTTCTGCTCTTGATTGTAACCAGTTACAAGTCTGTAAATTTTCTAGCTGTTCCTATTATTAGGAATAATGCTTAAGTTTAATTCTGTATTTATTTTATTATATTCTAAAGCATAATCTGCTTTACCAGTGTTGCCTAAAACATTCTTCTGCTTTTCTGTTAGTATATTGGATATCCTTATGCAATGTAAACTGCCTTTTGCCAGAACTGAAGTAATAAGCTTTTTGGAAAGGCAGAATGAGGACAATATTGCTTCTTTCTTCCTAGTTAGATCTTAACATATGAAAAAAAGTAGTCCAAAATGTGATTCCAGGTGGTAACTAAAAATATCTTGCAAGGTCTTAATATGTTGAATGCCTTGATCTGTCAGGGTACTTGCATGTGTGTTGCAGTACCTGCACTTCAGAGGCCTTCCTGAGAAAGGACTGTAGTTAATAAAAATGTTCTGTACAGGAACTCTTGTAGCTGACTTTGGTGGCATCCCAGTGTCCTCTGTCTCACTTTGAATGCTTTTACTGACAAAAAGACTCTTGTTTCCACAATTACAGCATTCATGATTTGGTGACTGAGTGTAGTAGAGAATTGAGCTGTTAAAAGACTAGAACTAAGCCAAACCTACGGATAGATCACAGCATAGGGACAGAAGTTACAACTTTGTGATGTTGATGTTGATCACAATTAGATGTGGTGCAACTTCTCTTGATGGAACAAAACATTTCAAAGAGAGGTATAAGTTGGTATAAAATAGAGAAAATGAGTATTTGACATTCATACTTAGAAGTATAATTTTTACTAACATTGATTGAAAAATTTTGCTATAAAATAGCTTTAATGCATTTGTTTTTGCAATTAAAGATATTTTGTAGCATGCACTTGTCATGAACTTTATGGCTCCTGTTCATCTTGGAGTGGATGAAATTCTATGTTTCCAAACGTCTTGCACTCTGTGTGCTCAATTTCAGGAAATGGATCTGACAGTGACAGGTACTTGTTCTTTCTTGGTCAAGAGGAAATGACAAAACTACTATTTATGTTATTCTTGCTTGTGGAGAAGCTGAGATTCTTGTAGATCCGTGTTGTATTTCTGGCCCCAAGCTGATGGTTTTGGGAACCTACGGAGATGATTGTACCTTGTCTGTGAGATGTCATGAACACACCAAGTAATTTAACATGAAATTTAGGCTAGCATTAGCAAATGCAAACAACACAGTAAAAGACTTCTGTAGTTGTTGTGGATTTTGTTTGGATGCAGTGTGCGAAGCTCTGAGCTCAGTCCTCTTAATTATACATCTTTTAACCACCAGCATATAATTGCCTTGCAATTTACAATCCATTTGGGGATTCCATTGCCTAAAAGGGTCTTACGTACATTGAATGTCAAGTTCTGAGCATATGTTTAAGAATGTATCAACCCACATGATTTAAAATACTCTAATATTTTCAGCACAGCATTTGCACAAAATTACCAATCTGGGTTTTGAGGCTCTAGTGCTTTGGGCTTTCTATTGGTGAGGAAGCCATTACCTTCCCTGTAGACTACTCACAGTGTCGGGTACCAGATTTTTGTATGGCATAATGCTGCTCCTTGGGTATGATTATAATGAAGATCGTCCCCCAAAGTTTGCTGCTGCACTGTTTTCCAGCCTCTCTGAAGGACTGTTTAATTCTTTTGGAAGAGCGATGTGGAGCGCAGAGCTACAACTGTGTTGTCTTTGGAGCTGATGTGCACTGCAAGGGAGCTGGTTATGCCTTTACTGAAAAGCCAGTACTAAAAGCAAGTTGAAAGCTGGCTTCTTCCAGAGGGTGATAGGTATTGGCAGTTGGACAGGTGTGCTCCTGTGTGTATTGAAATCTTTCATTTCTCTTTTTGCAGTCACTGTGCAAACCACCTTCACTTGTCTTATGGACTACCAGTGGCTACACTCAGCAGGACAAGTAGCTCTGCTCTTAAGTGCTGATGTCTCAGAGTGTGACTTTGCTCTGTCCTTGCTATAAAGCCCTGATGGAGTGCTAAGTTTGTTACTCTTCTTCACATGTCTAGATAGGACTTTAGCCAGAGGGAGGAGATTTTCTTCCAGTCAGCTGCTCAGGAATAAAAAATGCGACAAGGGGAGAAGTGAATGTGTTATGAAGTTACAAATATTAGTGATAACCTCGTAAGAATGTGAAAATACCCTGCTGGGTCAGATTAGCTTGGATCCAACCTAATGTTCTGTCTCAGGCAGTAGGAATAAGTGATGCTACTTGGTGTTTTAAAAGCCCAGACACTTTTTTTGTGCTTTCTTCTCTTACTCCTCCACCACCTATATTTGTTAAATTGGTCATGCTAGCGAGTGCATCACTTATGTCCCCATTGTCCCCTACTTCTTTGATATGTTTTGAGTCAATCTCTTGCTAACTTCATCGGGTACCCCTAGCTGCAATATTTTGTGATCTAGTATGGCTGGTCTATATTTACCTTATTCCTTTACCATGATTTTTTACACCTCAGTCATGTATTACATCATTTGGCAAGGTCACGCATTTTTAGATTCCCTTCTGTTCTTTGCCCTGTTGTTTCTTGCTAGCTCAAAATCTTTTATTTAGAATCAGTTGTTTAAGGAAATCTAGGTTCCTCAAGAAGCAGCTTCGGGTTTCTCATTCATAGGTTGTGGCTAAAGCTATTTTGAGCATATGCAGGCATAATTTTTTTTTCTGTTCAACCTTCCTACATCTTCAATGTAGAATATAAATGCAAAATAAAAACAGCTTCCAGAAAGTTTTGCATTCTGATATTTTTATAGTGAAGTACAGCTGCTTAAGCATTTGCTTTTTCCAGGGGAAGTCCATGTTTCCGTCATCTCTTACTGAATCCTGTGGGACAAAAATAATTTCTCCCCCACCCACTATTTAGCTAAGTGTAGTTTCAGTTCTCTTCAGTTAAGCGACATGTGCCTATTCTATGCTTTTGCTACTTTTTGCGTAGCAACAAAAAGTTCTGATAAGAACTCCTGTAAATTGTTAAAAATAAAACACTGTATCAGATGAAATCAGAATGAAGATATTTAAGTGTCTTTGTTATTTTGTTATATATATTTATACACACACACATTCTCTTATATGGTATGCCATGAAGTAAAAAAAAAAAGCTCCTTTTAGATTAAGTCCAGCTTCAGTTTTTGATCCTGGCAATGTATCCACATGTGTTTTGGGGAGTCTGTTTAAGAATCTACCAATAAAGATATAATTGCAAGTTTGAGAAAATTACTGTGTTGTTTTTTTTTAATATAATGTTGGTTGGCTACCATCTTTATTTGCTTTCTTGTTCCTTGCACTGTAGTTGCAGTAATTGATTACTGTCAGGATTTTTAACATGGTTATATTTGCATGAGCTTCTCCTAGTGTATATATAGACCCAAGAACTCACGTTTATGCTCGTTGGTTTCCCTGGGGATTATTGTCAGTATTTTAGTGTGAATGTTTCATATGGCATTGTCCTTGTGCCCTGTATCTCTCAGACAAGTGAGAAGTGAAATACTAGGCCTGCCTTGACACAGTCAAGTTAAATGCAAAAATAAGACTTAATTATGAGTTAAATCCAAAAATAAGACTGTGGCCACAAGAATAAATCTAGGATTATAGTGGCTGGGAGCTGTGGAGCAGTTTCTTTACAAAAGCTTAACGGAGGCACACAAGGTATGCATTTCTCACTGTTTACTTTGGAACCATCCTAAGAAACTCTTTCTTTGGTCTGTTACGTGCTAACCTTCAGAAAAGAAATACAGCTGGGTTGTACAAAAGAGGAGAAAGTTAGTGATCCATCAGAAACTCTGCAAAGCTTGATAGTAGTAGTTTAAAAGACGGTGATAAATGTACCAAAAGAAAATAGAGCACAACTTGTGGGTCACCGCAGCTGGAAGATACACTTGGTCTTTCAAGTTTTATGTCCAGTCCAGTATGCCACCTAATCCAAGCTTTGATAAACTGAGAGAAGCAGACTCTCCAGCAAAAGGCTTTCTGTCAGCCTGTTGTGTGTGTGAGATGCAAGTAGTTAAGACTCATTTGATTACTTTTGCTGCCATAGTAATAGAGGAGTCCATCTCTCAAAATTATGGAATACAGACGCTGACAACAACTCCTGTATGGGTCGTGTTCCTATAGGATTTATGTTTTGCCTTCATGTTGTTGCTGAATAATACTGAAGGGTATGTCAGTATCTGCCTGAGCCAAGGTGACTGAAAAGAATATTTGGTCCCTAACATGCTAAAGAGATTGTTTCCTTTTCCCATTCTGTCTTTTTGAAGGGCACAGTCAACAGTGAACTTTCTTGTTCTTAAGACTGACGTGTTGTGGAAAGTCATACTCCAGTGATTAGTTGGTTTCAAGTATATGTATATACTTTCATTTATATATATTGAAACTGGACTAGATGTCTGTATGTATGTTGTGGCTATCTGGTGTAAGCAAAGCGTGAGGGCCCTGCCCCTGGGGGTGGCTGCTTCCCTGTGTGCACGAAAAGGGAAAATGTGTATCAAGAGGAAATACACAGTTACCTTATTGTCGAGTGATTGTTCAGGTCACTTGCAGTAGTTACATTCTGTAGCACCTGTCTCCATGTCTTTGCTCTGTATGCTGTATGTGTGTATGTACCAAGCTATTCCAAGAATTTTAAGTGTGTTTTTAAATCTTTTAGTACTCTTCTGTCTTTCTGCATTTACAGCTAGATATATGCTAATGAAGGCCAGATTTGTGTTGTTTACTCTGTGGGATAGGGTGTTTTGTTTTGCCCTAGTGACTTTAGAATTGTTTTTCTAGATCCCCCAGTGCCATAGTGCTTTGTCATTTTCTCATGGTACTTTTTTACAGCAGAAAGTGGAGGAAAGTACATTACAGGAGGAAAGTACATTACAGGAGGAAAGTACATCCTTCCTGCAAAGTCTGTGCAGGTTTCCTTCTTGCAATTCTGCTCTTGCCTTTTTGGGCCTTGGGAACAAGTAATTTCATTGAGGTGGTAATCTGTACATTTGTCACATGCCTCTAATTTATTACATATTTCCTGAATATCACCTCTATTAATATTCCTTTCCTTGGTGTATAACACATATGAAACAGAACTGAGTGCTGAATGCATACACAGTGTTCAAAAGAGTTCATTCCAGTGCTTCAGGAGGACCTTTCTGAATAAAAGCTACTTGTTGCATGTTAAGCTTAGTATATCATAGTAGCTGCAGAATGTATGTACTGTTACTTTTTTTGAAACTGCTTTGGGATGTTTGGGGGTTTTGTTTGTTTGTTTTTTTGAAAGATGATTGCCAAAGATCTCCATAATGTTGAGAACTGAAAAAGTACCTTATGGCTGCATGGATTTGCACTGTAGGAACCTGGTTTAGGAACTGTAGGAACCACTGTAGGAACCAAGACTCTTGCTGAATTGATGTTTCAGCCCTTCTGGCATTCTTGGGAGTACTGAATGGTATTAATGCCTGCATTTCCCTAAAATAAGTACAGTGAGGTAGGATAAACTCTGAAGAACTGTGGTGACCTCAGGAAGGACTGCATATGGATGCTTGCAGAAATTGTAAGCAGCTGCAAAATCTGAAAGACTGGTCATCAGATGTGGTAAAAAAGCTCTTCTTTAAAAAAAAGCTTTGTTGCACTGACTGGCAAAATAATTTTGCAGCACAAAGACAGTCTGGTGGCTTTGTAAACAAAGATACCTTGAAGTAAACCCTCTGAATCAAATGAGTTAATCATCTTTCAGCTTGATTTATGAAAGCAAATGATCTAATCTGACACTTAACCTTTTTCAACTTGTAGCTTCTAATCACTTTCTGGTAGATGAGTGATGTTCTGCTAAAGTGATTTAAGTGTGGTGGCAGTAGAATTTTCTTTCCCCCAGAAATTTCTTTAATGTTTTCCAAAGATCTGTGACTACTGATTGAAAACTATTGTCCTATTGTTTTATTGGATGCTAGCTGAACCACAGGCTTGGTGACTACGTGTGCCTGTTTACTTACTGTAGTAATATCTATTTTATTTTGACTGACAGTCACCCTTTTGATATTTTCCTTAGACAATCTGCTTCATCTTGGTTCATCATCATTCCAAGATAGTGGTGTCCTTGGGGCTCTCTCTTAACATTGACATGGTACAGAAGATTTAAAATCAGGTAGTGTTTTGGATCCTTCTTTCCAGCCAAAATGAAACACACAACCTGGAACTGAATGCAGTTTTTCTTCCCTTATGTGATTTGTCTCAATATTTTGGTTCTTTCAGCTGATGTTCACAAGGAATAGAGTCACGTGATGTATGAAGGCAAACACATACACTTCTCTGAGGTTGACAATAAGCCCTTGTGCTCATATAGCCCCAAACTGTGCAAGCAGAGGCGACTTAACGGCTACGCCTTCTGTATCAGACACGTTCTGGAGGACAAGACCGCCCCCTTCAAGCAATGTGAATATGTGGCCAAGTACAACAGCCAGCGCTGCACCAACCCCATCCCCAAGTCTGAGGACCGTAGGTGAGTTGTGGATTCCTCTCTGCAAAGTGGGAAGCGGCTGGGATGTTTTATTTAAGTTGCTGGTTTCAGGATGAGGGAGGAACTGGTCTGAGTGAATTGTATTCCAGGATGTTCCTTTGAGAATTTTAAGACCTGTAAACTTTTTTTTTTTTTCCTGTGGGAGTGAAGTACTTAGCGAGAGGGCAGTAACTTAATCCCAAGGGAGTTTGTGCGAGAGTTCACTCCTTTTCACAAATTTGCTGTAAACTGAGGATCAAACCTGCTACACAGTATCAGCTGTTCCAACTAATTTGCTTTGTCACTCACAGTACATGCTCTTAGAAAGGCCTGCTTGTTTAGCCAGCAGTGCCAAAAGCACACTTCCATCTGCTTTTTCAGGATAAATAGTTGAAAATACTTATATTATGGACACAGGGGGCAGTGACATGTAGGGACAAATCCAGAATTACAATTCAGTGTTGGTGTTTTGGTACTGATCTGTAGTGTTGTTTTACTGGAAAAAAATAAATATTACTTGATAAGAGATGAGCCAGCTGGGAAAGTGCCACATACTCCTTTTCTTCTTTGCTTCCCTTATTTCTCTCCTCCTCCCTGCCCAAATGAAGATGCCCAGAGTGCCCAGGTATTAAATTCCTTGCAAAATATAATCCTTGAACTTGTTGAGAACTGGGAATTAAAAGCAGATTTCCCAACTTGCAGCCCATACTGTAGCCACAAGGGCATTCTTCCTTGCTCTTTAAGACTTCCTGAACACCAGTCTCATTTGTGCTGCTCAGGCTGAAATAGCAGAATTTGTCTAATCTTGTCTGCCATCTATATACAACTTCATTTTTCAGAGCTGTCATTGCAGGTTTTGCCAGTAAGGCAGTGTTTAATTAATGTGTGTGTTAACTATCTGAGGCTTGTTCTCATAGAAATGCTTTTTTAAACCTAAAATGCAAATAAAATATGCCAAAAAAATCAAGCCACTATTCACTGACCTTTCACATTATTAGCTGCCATTCACTAACCTTTTGCATTATTAGTGGTGTTCCCACTGTGCCCTACATATAACTTCCTTCTCAGCCCACAGCTCCCTCTCTTGTCTGAAACAACACTTGGACTGTGCTCTAAATTAACTTGCACTTCACCTGCCATTTCAGTTGAGGAGACTGATGAAGTGAGAAAAAAACATGAATGTTTGTCAAAAGCTGTAGGGCAAATGCTCGAATGGCACAAGATGAATAACTTTAAGCTGTAATTTGACAGTCAGTGAGTGTTTCGTTGCTACTGTACAATTGAGGCTCTTTGGAAATAAGCTCACAGAAATGATGGTAGAAATAGTTAGCACAAATGGCATGCTGTAATTTCAGATGCAAGAGCTGACTGAGAGAGTTCCTGTTTACCAGGGGTCATACTGAAAAACAATGGAAGTAATAGTACTTAATGACACTTTTTTACATCTCATATGTTCCCATGGAATTTGTGATTTTTCTTTACACCTTGAATTGAGTTCACACTTTGTTCTTTTTGATTTTTCTCAAGTTAAAGTGAAGTGTGGTCATGACATCTGGTGTATGTTATATTAGAATAATTCAGTTGCATGTCGAGTGTCATGTTACAGTATTTGGAGAGGACAGCAGGTGTCTGAAAGAGAAAATAAACTTTTAATTTCAAATGAGAGGATGTGATAGTTGAAAGAATATTTTAAAAGACTGTTTTTCAGGGCAGAGTTTAATTTTGACAATAACATGTAATGGATGCTAGTGATAAGACTGTGGCTGTTCTAAACTTTATTTTTTTGGCAGGCAAACCTGTATCTGTTTCTTAAAAGACTTTTTCGCACTCTGTTCAATATAAAGATGTTTGCAGTGTCTGAGTTCTTCACTCATAGCTTTTCATTTTCTGTGTACAGAATTACTGTCAGATGGTCATTTTGTCACAGTTTAGAGACAGAACTGTACAGGATCAGAAACAGTCTGTATGATGCTCTGACAGCATCATTATACTTTTAGAGATTGTTAAAAAAAAGTATTTCAAGAAGATGCATGCATTATATGCCAAAAGCTTCATAGTCTGTCCACAGATGATTAAGAAGAATTATCACTTGACCCCAGACAAATGAGATGCTACCAGCCACAAAGATGGTTAATATGATGCTATATTATTACATTTCTTATTAACCATTAAAATGCTACAAATTAAATCTATTAGTGTTAATTATTAATCTATTAAATCTAATAGTGCATGGCTTCATTGCCTTATTTGAAGTCTGATTTTTCTATTCACTATTTTTTTTGTAAAGTATATATATATGTGGGATGATACACACATGGGTTTTATATCTCTGTTTTCTCTGAATACATCTACTTCTTCCTTAACCAGATATACACGAAGATAATGAAATGCAACTTGATTTCTAAATATAGGTTTACTACAATTTAGTTGAGTTAAACACTATTTTGTCTCCAATTCTCCTCACTTAAGAAAGTCTTTAAATTATTTGTTTATATACAAGCTGCCCAGTATGTTTGGGTCTTCTCTTAAGTAAATGATGGAAATTGATACCAAACTGGGGTGTACTAAGAAGCAGAATGCATTTGTAGGTAGAAAACCTCACTATCTGAATCCTTGCCTTCCCAGTGGATTCAGGAAACCATCCAACTGCAGTCTTCAGAGCCCATCACATTTTGTGTGCTTCATGTTATGATAATTTTAATGGATATCAACCCACCATATTTTTGGACTTAATTTGACATTACCTGCACAGAAATGCCTTTGGTGCTGAGTGAGGAAAGGGAAAACACCTGTATTAGATACTTATTGTGATACTGTCAGCTGAGCATAACTCACAGACAGGTTCTAGAAGTGACAAACTGAGCCTCTAAGACAGGCTTGTCAGAACTGGCTTTTGTAGGGCCAGCTTGACCCTGATGGGTTTTGTGTTCAGAACTGTGTGAAAAACACTGTGCTATTTGCAGGCTTGATTCCTGTGTTCCCAGTAATCTGTCTTCCATGGAGCTTGAACTACTAATGCAGACTCTTCAGACACATGAAGTCAGAGCCACTCTAGGCCAGGGCCAACTAAAAAGCCATCATGGAATGTGCAGGATGGGGAAATGTGGGTGCAAACCCCCCTGGCTGTGTGCAGGGCTAGCAAGTCAAGGCTGAAGTGGTGCGAATGAGAACTATGCCTAGACAAAACTGCTTGTGTGCCAACTTCTTTACCCAGAGAGGACTGAACTGCCCTTCCTGGTTTCTTCTTGCTCCTGTTAGTCCAAGGTGTAGCAGCCTTGGTTATTCTGGAAGACAGGGAGTTGACAGAGCCTAAAGCACAGAGCCAAGTTAGTGTGTACTGGAATCTGGATGTTGTAGCCTGGCATCCGTGGGTTTGTGTCCAGCGGAGCCAGCTGGCTCTCAGTGATGCAGTAATGTCAACTGTAAGAGCCAAAGCTTTATTCTCTGCCATATAAAAATGATTCTGTTAGACTTAAAGGAGCAAGATAAACCCTTAATAGCCTGAAACTCAGATAATTTTAGCAAGCTTATTACCTTTCCACAGACTTATTCACCTTTTCTGTTTCTTTTCTTACTGTTTTTGCAATGAAAACAGACTACGCAGTTCTACCTCCTCACATCAGCACAAGCAAAGGATGACAATAATTTAAGTTCTGAACAATATAAGGGAAACATTTGTGTTGAGCAGAACACTCTTTTTATTGGCATAAGAGGGAAAAAAATTCTCATGTGTTTGTTTAGTCTGTTTATTGGTGTTTTTCTTCTGTAATACTAAAAATGCTGTGGTAGCTGTTCAAACAACATATTTAAAAAGGACTTAATTTTAAATATGGAAACAATGCTTGTTGACTTTAAGGGAAGCTTTATTGAGCCCTCATTATATAATTTTATTTTTAGAAGTGCATCTCTCAGTATGAATTTACAGTATTCCAGTGTGTTCTAATAAGGGCTGCACAAGTTGTTGGCTTTTAGCCTGCCTCATTTAGGTTTATTTACTGCTCACAACATAATGTAATGAAGAAATTATTTGGGCAATAATAAGTAGCAGTGCTTTTCAGCCTTTTCTGATTTGTGAAACCTTAGGAGTGTGGGTCTTGTAAGAAGCTACATATATGGAAACCATTAAAGAACATATATGAATTTGCTTTCTCTTTTTTCCCTTTTAAGGACCCTTTAGAGCTGTTCAGGCATTGTTTCTTTAGAAATGGGTCAACAAGTTCAAAGTGACTAAACTGAAGTGCTAAACCTTCTTGGGGGGTTGTTTTGGACTTTTCTGCCATTTTTTTTGCTCCATGAAGACCAGAAGTAATATAATTTTAACCTATTTTTTCAACAAAACTTACTGTTCTCAGATTCATACTGATCCAATTTTAAAGAATATCTTCATGATATTCTATTCATTATCTTGTCCATAACTACCTTGATGCAGACATCACTTTTTCCTTGTATCTTTGGTCATTTATAAGATGTAACTTTTAGATGGGATTCTGCAAAAACAAATTTTGATTGTTGGTGGTTCTACAGAGGAAGCAGTGCTGGCCTGTGGCATACAGGAAAAGGAACACATCATGATTCCTAAATTTCTGTCACATATTGATTCCAATCAAAAGTTAATGGCTTACTTTTTAGTATGTCATCTATGCCATAAATTGTAATTATTTTTATTTTCATGACAGAGTATCAAAGACCTTTTTGCTTTCTTTTTTTTAATAGCATGACTTTGAAAGTTTTTCATATTAGAAGAACTTAAAATCTGTGCTTTTGGATTGTATATATACCTATTTCTGGCATTGTGTAAATGCTTTCTAGCAGCAGAGAGTTTGTTTTAAGATAGATTTTTATTGAAAAATATTCAGCTAATCTTCCGGCTTTAAAATTCATCATGTTAAACTACTAAAACAGAATTTAAGTATTTATGCTACTTGTTCAATAAGTGGAAATAGTGATCTTTCATAGCAGATAGATATGTACTGAGATTGTCCTTATAGGAAACTGTTCCCTACTACAGTGGAAATAATAATAATAATAATAATAATAATAATAATAATAATAATAATAATAATAATAATTATTATTATTATTATTATTATTATTATTATTATTATTATTATTATTATTTATGCATTTATGAAAATATTAACTACTTCCACTGCAAGAATTGGCAAATGAAAGGAAGTACTCTTCAATGTACTTAGGAGCTTTTGAACTGATCAGTTAATGGCCTGTGTTCTTGCTGCTTTATGTATCACTGTCCATTTGTTTTGTTCACTTTGGATTTTGACTGCTTACCCTATTAGAGAATTAAGATTTTGAATGACTGTATGTGATTTTCGTATGAATAATGAATGAAGACTCTTGTATCTTAAGATTAGAAATAGTCGCTTGTGTAAGTTTTTTTCCTGCTGGTTTGGGAGCACCACAGTTATGTTTTGTATTAGAAGCAGTTGTGTAAAATTCTTATAAAACCTCTTCTGCTTCATTTTATATTTGCTTGAAATGTGTCTGTGAGTTTCTCCTAAGCGATGTCGTGGCTTCAGATTTTACTTACGGAAGTTTAGTTAATAACTGACTGCTCTTACTTTTCAAAGGTACTGCAACAGCCACCTGCAGGTACTTGGCTTTATACCGAAAAAGGAGAGGAAGAAAAAGAATGATCCCATAGAGGAGGTAAAGGTCAGGCATCAGATGGATGCTATGGCCTTCGGTCTGACAGTGCCCACCCTGGCCTTGAAGATGCCAAATGGACTGGATGGGATGTCCCTCTCCCCTCCAGGGGCAAGGCTTCCTCTCCACTACCTGGAGGCAGAATTAGAAGACCCCTTTGCTTTCAATGAGGAGGATGATGACCTAAAGAAAGGGGCAGCGGTGAAGAAAAAGTTGCAGAGCAAGTTGGCTCACAACCGGCAGCGCCAGAGAGAGACAGAGATTTTAAAAGTTCGCCAAGAGCACTTTAGCCCCATTCCTGCACCTTTGCAGCAGCAGCCTCTGCAGCAGCAGCAGCACTCCCATCTGCCACCTTCATCAGCTTCGTTAAAGCCGACAGGGCTACCGCAGGGCATAGTCTGCAAGTCACCTCAACCTCTGAACACCAGCCTACCAATGCAGGGAGTGGCACCCACCACACACACTATAGCACAAGCGCGGCAGTTGTCTAACAAGAGACCTCTGCCTCTCCTGCCACCCGCCAGGGCTCCTGTCACGGACCCGCCAAGGACTGACCGGGTCCTCATGAAAGCCACAGCCTTCTCTCCGCACTCGTCCTGCATGAGCCGGCTCCAGAGACTGGTGAAACTGTGCACTCGAAAACAGCAGCTGGACACTGACCTGTTTCCTCACTTAGGTGAGTAGCTAATAGATGCACTGCAGCTGTATTTTTTAACCTGAAACCAAAAGACTGAAGGGGAATGTCTTCCTAGCCCTGTCCTGAATTCCTGTGCGGTCCTTACAAAGTAACCCTTGGCATTTTCTTTAGCCCTTTTGTCTATGAAGGCCATGCCTGGCTCCATCACAAATGGTTTATGGAATTGGTTGTTTATTCTTCTTAATGTTCTGTTAACCATTTGAGAAATCATACTGAGGTGTTGAAAATACTGTTTGGATTATAGAGAGCTCAGGTAGAAGGTTTTCAACTCAAGTAGTAAATGTGACACTAGCGGTACCTACGTGAGTGAACAAAGTTAGGTTGAAACATTAGGTGTGTGATAAGTGCATGTGCCATAATGAATATAAGTAAAAATTTGGCAGTTTGGCCCATCAATTTCTGCATATTCAAAATTCCAGTTGACTTAATTGGAACACATGCGAATTTTTCTTGACTGGGCCCTATTTATGTATAGAATATGGAAGAACAGAAGGAAAAGACCACTTCAGGAGAGCAGCATTGTTACAGAAGATAGTTGGAAGGGTGAAGTCTTGTCTGCATACCATGCAGAGACAATCTTCCCCTTACATAAAATGATCAATAACTGCTTGTGAAATATAAGCAAATATAACCAAATTGGTGCTATGATAGTAGTGCTCTGTAAGCTTTGAAAAGGCAACTGGCCTTATGGCTTATTTGTCTGTTTGTGAATATAGACCTAAGCACACCTATCTGTCCTTTTTATTTTCCTCATCCTCCCAAATTACTTTTCTGTTCAGTTTTAGATTGTACATTTCTAACAAGTAAAATACCAGCAGGGAAAAGGAAATGTGAATTTATGTGATATAAGTAGAAACACCATTTATTATGTTTAAAACAAAGACTTCAGATAAACCCGGACATTCCCTATATAATATCTTACTTAATTGCAAACATCTGTAATTTTTGCTATTTCAATTAACTTTTTCTTAATTTGCTGTTAAGATCTGCCCTTTGGCACTCATGGGATAGTTTGACTATTTGTTCAGGAGATAATTAGCATCCCATAGCATGTCTCCAAAGGAAATTGTTCTTCAGGAAACAGCTTTGATGATCCTGTATATAGTGCAGGTCTTTAGAGGAATGGCAACTCTAGAGGCATTTCTGAGTGTCACAGACCTCAGTAGTTTAGAAAGTGACCTGTGTTTTGAAAGACTGTAGAAAGATCCCTTTCTGTGCTTAATGTTCTACATTCTCAACTGGTGAAGAGAATACGTGCTCCTTAAAAAGAGGCATAGTAAAATTAAAAAAGTTAGACCTATACATGTACAGTTAGGCAGGTGCCTAACTATGTGGATGCATTTAGAACAGTTTATATTTGGCAAAGTAAAGGAATTTACATATTAATTATGTGAGAGTGGAAAATTTATTTGTTATTTATTCATTATAAACCTTAATATTAAAGACTAGGTATGCCAGATCAGAGAATTTCAGGATTTCTTGTATATATTTGAGCAGCACTAGAGATGACTGCACAAAATCTTTCAAAAGATTAAGCCAGTTTTATGTGTGCCAACATCAGAGCCATGTATTGGATATTAATATACCTGAAGTCTTCAGTGTCAATACAACTGTATCTGGACTAGATTTTATTCCTTCCTTTCTGCAGTGCCTGGGAGAAGCAAAACAACTCAATTTCTGATTTTGTTTTTAAACTTTGGTTTTAAACAATTTGTTATGTGGCTGTCAATTATGGGCATCTTTATGGAATGATTAAGTTATTTTTTTCATTCCTTTATGGAAGAGATAACAAGAAAAAGAAACATTTAACATTTAAGTTAAACATTAACATTAAACATTTAACATTCAACATTTAAGTTGAAAGTATAATTCTGACATTGTATCAAATGTCTTAAGGTATCTGAATTTAGTTCAAATATATATTTAAAAAATATTTTTTTTAGGATGCTGAAGTTCCTGAAAGTTTGAGTTTCTGATATCTGTGGTTCATGTTAAAGTGCTGTTTCTGTAGGATGAAGGTTACCTGATTATTGTATCCCAAGCTAATGTGTGTGTGTCTCTAACTCTGAAAGTGCTTGACCAAGCACTGATGCTTTTCCCAGCTCCAAGGCATCTGACTTCAGAATCATCTCAGATATAGTTGTTTAATTTAGTTTTAGCAAAAATGAAATGCTCCTTAACTCTATCAATTTTCAAGGAGCGCACAAGAGAATGAAAAAGCAAAGAATGCTAGCTTGTAAATGCAGCAATGGGATTTTATCCCACCTGCTGCAAGAATGTGGCAAGAATTTCACTGGATGTGAGAGTGAAAGTAGGAAAACCAGCAAAAGATGAAGTTCCAGATAAAATATTCCACCTGAAAACTTACTGGCTGCTTCCTGGTCAAATAGCTGTTTGTAGGTTGACTAACTGAGGCTGCTGGAGCACATTGTAAGTTGATCATACTGCATCATCATTAAGTGAAAACATGCTGCTTGGGGGAAGTGCTGGAGTGTTTGTATCTCTCCCTTTAGCTCTTTCTTCACGCTAATATGTGCATTTGGCAGGCAATTACAGAGACTGAGCAGAGGAACATCCTGGGTAGCTGTGTATCTATCTCTGTCCCTGCTGCTGTGTCTTACAGTTTTCATGTTCTTCTATGTTTTGGCACAGAGAAGGGGTCAGAATATAAACAGAAATGAAATTGGCCTATTTAGATCATATAGTCTTAAATATAAACAGAAATGAAATTTGCCTATTTAGATCATACAGTCTTAAATATAAACAGAAATTAAATTGGCCTATTTAGATCATATAGTCTTAAAATTTACCAAGTAGTCTGTTCTTCATAACACAGACTTCTCTTTTACCTTGTACTTGGTTATGAAAACTAGTATTTATCTGCAGGTAAGATGGTGATTTTTCTTGCACTGTTTATGGATAAAGAAGCCAATGAGGACTTTAAAAGAAAAATTTAGTTATGATAAAAATCAGTGCATGCTTTTTGCACACTGTAATGGAGCTGTTACTGTAGCTTTTCCTGTATAATTGAGAATACTGCATAATTTAATCAAATGTAATTATGCTTGCAACTATACTATGCATGCATCTTTTGTGCCAAATGTTGCTCAAATGCTTATATAAGGTGGATGCTCTTTTCATCCAGTTTCCATGTTTTCAATTCCCTTAGGGTTGGATTGGTCTGAAGACAGTGGAGAAGAGTTGGAGGATTCAGAGCAAACCTCCCCTTACCAGGTTGCATGGTCTATCCGAGAAAGCCTTGGCTATGAGAGACCTGAGTGAGTATAATTCTTTAGTATTCATGCTGGCCTTCATGGAATAAATCATGTAAATGTGAGCTTCACTTCAAGTGGAGTCAGTGGAACCTAAGCACTTGTTCAAGTGTTTTGCTGAAACAAAGGATTGTTTGAACTAATTTGTTTGTAAGAGCTATGGAACAGCTTGTTGCCTTCTGTCCCAGTTTCCAGCTAACTTAGAGACCTTTGTGCAGTCTGCTATCAGAAGGATGCATCAGGAAAGGATTTAAGCTTGTTTGCCTGAATTTAATTGAGTTTAGTAGGATTTATTAATGAACTTGTGTGCTTTGATGATTGGAGGTCCTGAATTAAAATCAAATCGGGTTGCTATTGGTTTCTTGTCTTTCCTACTGGTTGTTAATAACTTTGTCAGTAAACTTGCTACATTTTACTCATTAAGTCTTGTAATAATTATGCAAGCTATTGTTTTAATATGCTTTTTAAACGGCCACGGTATTTCTTTTCGTAATTAAGTGTTGAATAAACCTCTGTCAGTACTTGTGGTCATTGGAAGGAAGCACGGGACTTGTGAGCATGGGATCAGAAGGATAAGCAGAGCAGGAATTAGCTGCTTGTGCAGAAAGGCTTATGATGTTCTCTATATACTGCTGTCACAAATCTAAACTTACAGCAGGATATAATAATGTAGGTCTACTAATGTAAATTTGAAGGTGCACGGTTAAAACAAAGCATCCCAGGTGTAGTATTATAACAATACTGTTGTATGTCATTAACAAAGAAATTGGGGTCTCACTAGAATTGATTATAGTTTCTGTAACACAACTCTCATTCCGTGTGCATCTGGACTTTTTGCTACTACAACTTTTCCCTATTGTTTTAGTTTTTAACTATCACACTTAGAATAATGGTGTTAATGAAACCTTGTCTTGTTGTTACATTCTGAAAATTCTGAACTTACTAGAATTTCCTGCCATCTCTGAAGATTGTCCTCAAGGTGAACCATGAAGGTGTATCTCTGTCATCAGGACACACACCAGGATGCTAAATATTAAGAGCCTTCAGTGAATCAAAGCTATTAAGCAGAGTGTAGACTTCACTTTTTTAAAATAAAGAGGGTTTTTCTTATTATGAATGACTGTAATTTTTTAGGGCATCAGCAGTTTTAGAGTGAGCTTTCACAAATGTTACTTCTATCTTAAAAAGCAACTTTCAAATAAAATGTTTTGGGAGATCGTGAACTTTCAGACTTTCAGACTTCTAAATCATACATAATTTTTCACAGCAGATATATCTATTAAATAGCTTGCCTTACACTCTTCTCTCTTTCACATTTGATTTGATTCTTCCATAGATCCCTATTTTTTTGTCAACTTATAAAGGTCATCTCTGTGAGTTTTGTCTTCTATTTTTCTTAACTTCCTTTGGATTCTTCTTACTCTTTTCACATACTGAAAGAAAATAATACCTTGTCTTGACATTTTATTTTCCATTCTAGCATTCTGTGCACCTCAGTTAAATGCTGTCTTAACTATCCATGATGGATAAATTTTTGAATGCAACTGGCTGCTTTTGTACTTCCATTAGTCTGGTCTTCAACAGCCTTACTAATTTTGATCCTAGATAAGCATTCACTTGATGTCAGCCTTCTAAAGCTTTAGTTCCTATTATGCAAACTTCTGTAGTGCTTTTTATTACTTGAAATGTTTCACTTTGACACTTCTGCAGTGTGGTCTGCCTACTGCTGAAGATGAGTTAGTTTGGGCTGTTTCTGAGGAGATGTGATTTGTAAAAATGACTCTGTTTTGCTAATCTGGTGGTAGGGACTGGTGACTCCTAAAGTCAGCCAGTGACCTGTGGCTCTGAATTCTGGGGACTTAATTTACCAGAAAACCAATGGAGATTATTTTGCAAAACTTTTTGGTTTTGAAATCACATACCTAAACTTAGGGGATTTCCTTGCTGATTTTCATAGTAAAATTAAAGCTCTTTTTTCTCTGTTTATTTATATCTGAGCTTGTGGTCCCCACCAGCTGACTGCATTCTGTCTTTTTCCTTTGGACAGTGCAGAATGTTTCTCAGAATAGACTATTGAAAGAAAGTAAACAGTTAATTTCTGCTTTACTGGACAGCTGGTTCTCAGCATTTCTGCTTTTGTGATTGTGGGGGAAACCTCTGTTGAACTTCTTGTGTGATACTCTAGCTACTCTTAAACTCCCAAAAATTCACCAGATTTGTTTAGAATTAGTCTTAACGGTGTCCTGATTTTGGCTGGGATAGTGCTCATTTTCTTCTCAGCAGCTGGCACAGTGCTGTGTTTTGGGTTTGGTAGGAGAACACCGTTGATAACACTCTGATGGTTTGGCTGTTGCTAAGTAGTGCTAGCCCTGAGTCAAGGACACTGCAGTTCCCTCTGCTCTGCCAGAGAGGGGTGCACCAGAAGCCATGTGGGAGCACAGCTGGGACAGCTCACCCCAGCTGGCCAAGGGGCTACTCCACAGCCTAGAACATCGTGGCCAGGACATGAACTGGGGGCAGCTGATTGCTGCTTGAGGTAGGCTTGAATATCAGCCAGTGGGTGGTGAGCAACTGTATGGGGCATCGCTTGTTTTCCTTGGGGTTTATTTTTCTTTTTTATTTTTTTAATTACAATAAGTAGTAGTAATATATTTTACTTTGTTTCCATTAGGTAGGCTATTCTTAGCTCAACCCACAAGGTGGTTTTTTTTCTGATTCCCCTCCCCATCCCACTGGTGGGAGCAGGGAGAGTGAGCAGGCAGGGAGAGGGAGCATGTAGCACTGTGGTACTTAGTTGTTGGATGAGGTTAAACTATGACAACAATAACACATTTTTGGTTCCCTTGCCCTCTGGCCCTTTAATCTGTAAAATTCATATTGTTGCAATCATCTGTGGAAACGCAGGCCAAATGTTTGCTTTTATTATTCTGTGCTTTAATTTTGAAAAATTGTGTTCCTATGGTCCCAGGAGTTCAGGACACAGTGCTTCGAGGCAGGCACAAATGTTTGAGTTCCAATAGTAGGAGTTGGCAGTGGGCACAGTGCAGGCTGGGTGCTGGCAGAGAAGGTTCCTGGGGTGGGAGCAATCCCATGTGGGAGCAGCAATTTGGAGAGAAAGCAGGGGCTGTTCCCTGCTGCAAATTACTGAAGCTTCCCCTTAGATTGTTTGATTACTGAGTCTGGTATCTTAGAAAGGGCTGGAAAACATACAACTTTGTAACAAAGTATTTTTTCACTTCCTACTGTGAAATATAGATAAAGCAAACATTTCAAGTAGCAAGTTTGAAAAAGGAGTGTGAGTCCTTCCTCATACCAACTCCCTCAAAGGATTAATTATCAACACTGTGTTGTCAAAAGTTGGATTTAATAACTCCCAATAAGTAGAATAACTAAAAGAAAGAAGGGAAGATTCTTCAAAACGCTCTGTAAGGAGGGATTTGAAGTACAGTTGCTGGGTTGTCTCGGAATAGAGAGCATGTTCTCCTCATTCCCTGGTGGTGCCTGGCTGCTCATCCTTTTGCTCTTCCTTTCTGCTGCTTTGTGCTGTCTTTGCTTTCTTCAGGAGCACTCAGCAATAATCCCCCTGATGTTTCCACATCAGTCTGAAAGGGAAGGGTTGGGAGTAGGCATTTTGGATTATCAAATGGCTTGTGTGCATTTTCAGAAATCTTTGTAAAAATGAAATGCCACATGTTAAGTTGAACTTCAGAAGTTCTATATGCAGCTTAGGAGAATAAACTAAATAGAATTTGGCCAACTTGTTTATGAAAGAACAACAATAAAAGTATATTTCATTTTCATGCCTACCAAAGAAAAAAAGTTTTATTTTGATATTTTTAGATTTCTTTGAACATATAAATGCTTTGGCTAATCTTATTGACCTGGGAACAAAGTTCTGAACAGGCTTTTAGAAACTGGCTTTTAGAAATTTTAGCTCAAAATAAGCCCTTGCCCACTGCAGGCATGGTTTCTTTCTATACCTTTGATATATGTCTTCATCTATTTTTAAAAAAGATCTCATAAACCGAAGATCAAAAATATTTTAGCATAAAATGTCATTTTTTCTGTCTCTTTCAATGTGAGAGAAGTAAAAAGTCTCAAATATAAGGAGATGTACATTAAAAAACACTCTTTCCACACAAAAGAAACTTCTTTCCCCTAAGGACTACTCCTGCTATTCTTAAATTAATTTTTAACCATATTTAAAATTAAATCCGTAACTTTGTTTAAAAGTCTTGCCCCAGAGCAGTAATGAAATATCTAAGATATTAAACCTACCAATAAATATATATGCTATCCATGTTTTACTCTTTTATTAATATATTGGAAAAGGAAAATCTATGTTAAATAGCCCACAGTCATTTTTTTCTAAAATTTTCACAGGTAGTTTTCCCCAGTAAGCATTGTTTCCTAAGAGACCTTAAAAGTGTATTTTCATTTAATTTTCAATGTAAAAATATTCTAAACATTGCATATGTTAAATATTTTTAATAATGTTGTATTTGCTGCTAAGCATGTAATTGCAGAGGTTAATTACTTGTAATTTATGTTCTAGAAAATAAGCTGTAATCTGTTTTAACAGACAAAATACACAGTATGGTTGACTTTACATGAAACTTCACAAAAACATGCGTTTGTGTCAAAGGCAGTGTTTGCTGCTGCAGAGTTTTTATGGAAAGCCTTAATGGAGATGGATGGCTGTAGTCTCTTCCACTTGGCCTGTGTGTAAATAGAGTCAGAGTTTCCAGAAAAGAAAGTAGGTCTTCACCATACTGCCTCTCAGGGACAGATCTGCTGTCTGCATTTCTGGATCTTACTTTATTTAGTAAATACCATGGCTGGTATTTCACATCTTGCATCTCAGTGGTGGCCTCCTTTGCTGTGCACAGGTTTGGGTGTCAGCTCATTCAGTTCCACAGGCTCTGAACATTGCCAGCTTTTGATTTGCTTCATTTGTTTGGATTTCTCTTCTCTCCCCTGCCCTTTATTTTTTGTGTTACAGATAGGAAAGTTGGCAAAAAGTTTCTCTGTTTTATAGGAAAAAAAAAATAGAGGGAAGACTCAACAGAGTCTGCTTAGATTCAGCACATGTATTTTGTTGCTCCATGAACAAAGATCTCATTCTGCAAACTAGTGCTTGTTGTAGAGACCTTCTAGGTGGCTTCATGGAGCTTGTTTTAACAAGTTCCAGTGATGATTTTCTGTTTCATGACTTTTACTTCATTTAACTGAATGTGTTGACATGGTTTGATGGTCTTGTTGATATTTGCCTGGACATTGAGAGAGCCAAGATAAATGGAGAAGGGCTTTCTTAAGCCAGCAAAGAGTTGGATTAGTCCTTCATCCAGTCATTGCTTAGCCCTAGTCTCAGCTTTCCCTCAGTATCTTTGAGATAAAGCTGAGTTTCTTCTCTACTATTGTACTGTAACTCAACTGCAACTCTGCAGCAAGGGGAAATCAGTATCAGCTGTTAGCTGTGTTAGTGTGTATTTTGGTTTAAAAAGGAATATACTGCCTGGCAAAATAAAAGGAATTGGAACAAGTCAGCAGTTTAGGTACTTGTTAGAATTTGACCATCTTCTCCAGCATGATCATTCCTCAATAAATTTCCGCTACACAATTCCCCACCCTTGTCTTCTCCATTAATTGCACTTTGATTTAAACATTGGTCTCATTTGCTGAGACATTTACAGTAAATAAAGGTTAACAGTATAGATTTCTTTTTGAACAGCAGGCTCTAGACATTTAAATGTGTCAAACTTGATGATAAATTGATGTAATCTCTAATAATGACATACTAAGAAGGGCAAATACCTTTAGAATTCAAAAGGATCCTACTCTTGCTATTTCTCAAGTAACACTGCCTGATTTCAGCATTTGGATGTTTGTTTGGCTAGAAGATGGATGCCAACTTAATAATTCTATTAGAATGACAAATTAGCTTGTGGGGAAAAAAAAAAAAAGTATCTTAAAGCGTATTTGTTTCTATTTTCCCTTCTTCAGGTCCGATGATGACAATGCAGATGACAGGAGTTCCAGGGTGACCAGACTTTGCACTTACTTTCAGCAGAAATACAAGCACCTCTGCCGCCTGGAGCGGGCAGAGTCCCGCCAGAAGAAGTGCCGGCACACGCTGCGGAAAGCCCTGCTGCAGGCGGCCAGCAGAGAGCCCGAGCGCGCGGGGCAGCTCCTGCAGGAACTCCGGAGAGCTGCGTGTGCTTGTACCAGGTTAGACCTGCCCTGTCGCTGCAGGAGCCTGGGCTGGGCCAGGGTGGGCATGGGCTGAGCATCCAGCAGCTGAAATGATGAGCTCTGAAATCGCTAGTCACGCACAAGGCAGAAAAAATATGACGCATAAATGCCTGTCAGTGGAGTAAAATAAACGTGGCATGCAGAGTTTTCCATGAAGACAGGCCTTCTTCAGCTTTATGTTGTAAAATGTGGATAGTTTGTTCAGCAGTTTCTGGACCCAAATATCTGGTCCTTTACTGTGCCAGTGAAGGTGTGCAGTCTGGTCTGTAGTTCACTGCTTCGAATTCAGATTTTGCTTTCAGACTGCTTTTTTTGAAAAGTCTGTACCTCCTCTTAATTATCTTCCCAGCAAACCAAATTTAAGCTCATGCTTTTTGTTAGATTTAACTCAATCTAACATTAAATAAAACCTGGCAACAAAATACATAACTTCTAACAACTTTGAAGGTTATCTTCTGTGGGAATCCTTTCTACATAATGCCAACATCCCTCCAGCTCTCAGCATATGGAGAGTTGGTTGATTCATATTTGTGCAGGAACAGTCTAAGTCTGAACCCTGGTGTTACGTTTGGGGTATCAGAAGCATCCTTTTGCTGTTGGGGTTTTGCTTTACAGGATGTGTGACTGTGGGGTGTAGTGGATAATATGAAATCCAGATTTTAGCTAGGTACGGAGAGTGTATTGTGTTTAATAGGATGCTTGTGTTCCTGGAGAGTGGGATGTGGTTCATATTGAAGGGTTCATTGCTGGGGAGGTGGGCTGATTCTGAAGAACTGCTCTAGAGGTGTAATGTAGAAGTCCATTACTGGTTTACAAAGTTGTGTATAAATTTCTCCAAACTTAAACACTACAGCAAAAGTTCACTTGAACGGACAAGCTCTTGCTGGGTTTTTTTTCCCCTCTTATTTTTCCCTTTTATTAAGCAAAAAAAGTTTACATTGTTTTGGGTAGACCAGCAAAGCCAGTATGCCTGTCATCACTGCTCTGGTCAATTTAAGTAACCATAGAGTCTTTTCAGATACAAAATTTTTCACAGGAGTAATACTACTAACTAAAACTTTGCTCAGTCAAAGTGCAGTTGACAGAAATGGCTGAAGGAAAACAGTCAGGCTACAGGCAGCTTTTTGTCAACCTAGAAAACAACGTGTACAGAGGTGCAAGTCAGCCCTGGAATCGCCAGCTTTATCTCCATGAAGGTGACACATGCCTGGAGAGCAGGCTAACCCCAAGCGAGCTGTGTAACGCTTCAGTGCTCGTCCACACTGCTGTCTGGTCGCCTGCTTGCAGCTCAGGCTCAGAGCACAGGGGCTGTGCTGGGGAAGTGCCCAGCTCCGGGCACCTGCTGGTGGATTGGGCTGTAGCACGTTGGTGAAGGAGAGCTTTTATCCATGTTGAGCACGCTCAGGCTCTGCCACTCCAGAGCTCAGTCTAAGTTTGTCTGAGCACATGCTTGCATGTAAGCTCTGGGGATGCTCGGCATGTTTTGATTTATAAACAGGCTTGGAAGTGCACTTGACTCCCATCTAGGCATACCCAGTACATTGAATCCTAAAGACTGACCTCATTTTGAGGGTCACCTGTGTTGACACGCACCTACTGCTGCCCTTTCTGTTGCAAGGTGTTGTAATATTTACATGGTAGTAGCACATAGCACCTCTCATTACAATTAAGGCCCTCTGAATTAAGAAATAATCCTGTTACTACAGTCACACCTTCACCTGTCATTGACATCTATTCTGTGTCCCTGTGTAGAGCTTGGTAATAGTGTGCACCCATCTGGATCATGACACACACACACACGTGTGTTAGAATTTTTCATCCTACTGTGCTACATTCAATATAATAATTGTGTTAAGTAACCACAAGACTGGGGGTTTGTCTGTAAACTCTTTTATGCTTTCTTTTCAGCACAAGCCAAGCAAGGCAGAGGGATGCAGAACCAACAACCTGCAGTGGGACTTCGAAGGGAGAGCAGTGCACTAACAAGGCCCTTCCATTCACCAGGCACTGTTTTCAGCGTATCCTCTTAACTCTGTTTGGGAGTTGCATTCAGGCATAAGAGCTGTTCTGTTTTAGGAGTTTTTTTGTTTGTTTGTTCAATTTTTGCATGATAACTAAGTTTTCACAAAGAAATACCTATTTGTGAGTATGTCATCAACTCCTTTGCCTTTAATTTGGCTGTGTGATTTAGACACCGAGAATAAGTATTCTGCTACTGGTATCTGTAATAGGAGCATCATTTTACTTTGTGAGCTGTATTTAGTATGTGCAGGAAGCATTTACAAAATTAGTCCAGATTAGGAAGGTTTCCCTGTACTTGGAATTTCAAATAAAGCCTGGAAAGAATGTTGTAAGTCAATGGCTGAAGATCTCAGAAAGAAGAGAGCACAATAGATGTGAGTTTTGGTTCTGAAGACTATAAAAAGGCGGACTTATGACCTATAATACCTAAAAATTCTGCAGACTTTGTTTATTTTGTTTTAGCTGAAGAATTGTTGGTGCTTCTGTTGGGGTGATTCCTTTTGTTGAAACTTTTGGTTTTGGTATTAAAAGTAACTAGTGCTGATGTACTCAGCTACTGTCAGACTGCAGCACCTTTCCAATCTTTTTGTTTTGCTGATGCCTTGTTTTTATTGTTTGATTTTTTGCAGGCTGCTTAAAAGCAGTCTGCAGAGCAGCTGAAAACCTCTATGAGAGAGCACCATGGCATACAGCTGTATTTGGGATTTGCCTCATGGTTCTGATGGTATTTTTTTGTTTGGGAGTTTTTTCATTTTAAATGGTCTCTCTTGTTGTGTGTAGAGCAGGGTAATCAGGACTAGTGATTTTGCATGTATGTCCATTTTTTCTCTCTACATTTTCTTCTCTAAAATGAACAGGTTCTTCGTTCTGACCCATCCATCCAAGTCTGCTATCTGGATTGTTCTGCGTGTTTATCATTTCTTTGTCCATTGGTGGTTTTTTTTTTTTTTTTTTTTTTTTTTTTTTTTTTTAAATTTTTTTTTTTTTTTTTTTTTTTTTTTTTACATTTTATAAACATACATAGTGATGTTGAGGTCTGAGAACTGTTCAAGATGGAAGGAGTGCTTCTAATGTTGTTTGAAAAAGACACAATGGAATATCTGTTTGATTTGCTGTAAGTCTGGAAACATTTTTACTCCTGCTAAGGATTTTTCTGAAGGAAATCTCAGCAAGCTTACGTTTGGATTTACTTGACCTTTCTGTCTGCTTGCACATCTTTTTTTTCAGAGGAGCAGGAAGGATCTTGAAACTTCTTTGTCTGTGCTCTAAAGATAAATGCCAAGAATGTACCTTAAAAGATTGAATTAAGAAATACTCTTTCTTTAATGTTTCGGTATGGATTGTCATTAGTCTGTAAGGAAATAGTCCTGTTGACTACACTGTTCCAACTCCTACTATTGATCTATTGATTAAGGGTCCAGGAAAAGGCTTCTTTTTGCTAAGAACTCATTAGTGAAATGGCTGCTTTTATAAAACTATCTCAGTATATAATAAAATCATTAGAAATTCTGCATGAATGCAGTTTTTTCACTTTAAAAGTTGGTTTGAGCCTTACCTAGCTTTGAACTTGAATAGCAAATTTAAGGCACTCATTAAAAATAGTATCTATGGATAGATAGAGTTGAAGGCTCTGATCTTTATCAGATTGATAAATCAAAGGGCGTTCCTCCACCCCTGTCTTGTGTTATTCCTGATGCAGAAATGCACAGATATCTTATTGAACCGTTCTCAGCAGCTCTTCTCGAGTTGCACAGCCAAGTTTGCAGATGGTCAGCAGTGCTCTGTGCCAGTTTTTGACATTACACATCAGACACCTCTGTGTGAAGAACATGCCAAAAAAATGGTAAGTACAAAGCCATTACTGTATTTATTTGTGTATTGGGATGATCAGGAGTTTTAACTCCAGTCTTCCTATGAAGTCTTCCTTGACAACTAGCAAGTTTATGAACTTAAGAGTTTGTTTATTATTATTTTTCTTAAAAGGGTAAAACTTGACAAACATTCCCAGTTAGTATAAAGTATGGCATGAAAATCTTCTATGTAGTTGTGAGGATATAATGAAGTATACATGGGAATATTCTTCACTGGAGGAAATTTGATTGCTGTCTTGAACTGAGAAATAGAAGATCATTGTGAGAGGTCCTGTGGTCATTTTATTTGGGGTCACTCCTGGTCCTTGGATCTGAGTGTAATATGAGTATGGTGTTAAGAACATTGCCTCTTAAACAGTCTAAGTACACAGGGCCCAAAGTACTTTGTAAAGGTAATGTAGACAGCAACTACAAGGATGCAAATAATGGGTTTGCTACTTTATTTATCTTCTAATAAGTATTAGAATTTATCTTTAACCTCCTTCAGGGATCCATGGATCCCAGAGAAAGAGCAGTGGCCTAACTCAAGCTGAGAGAATGGAGAAATGAAGTTGGTGTCCTTTGCTCTCCTTTTCATGACACCAAACTTCCAGAACAAAACCTTTAGGATAATTCATAAACCTACTTCATTCCTGCCCCTCCTTCAAGGCTTCTTGTCTTCTAATTGTCCTACCTTCAATTAGGTGTAAAACTGCCATTTTTTTTGCTTTGTTGGGTTATTAGAAGTTTTTTGTTACTGTTTTTATCCAGCCTCTCCAATAATTGTGCATTATAGAGTTTTTTGGTTTAAAATGTGAGGGTTTGTACTACACAGATCTGTATGGGGTTCCTTCCTCTTCTAGGCAATCTTCAGTATGTCCCTCCAAGTTTACCTCTATAACAAATATAATCCTATATCAAATATAATGATGGCAACTGAAGACTGATGATAGTTTGATTTATTTCTTAATGTGTCAGTGGTTGCTGTTCAGAAGCATTGAGGCCATAATTGTTTACCCACATCCTTATTCTAGTCCAGCAGTGTTAATTTTGTTTCCTCAGTGCTGTCCTTCTGTTATGTCAGCAGGCACTTTAGGATTGTGCTTCAGCTTCTGCACATTATCCACATTAACACCACCTCACAACAGTGTCTTGTCTTTAATACTTAGGAGTGCTGCTAAAGGTTATGGTTTTGCACTATTTAGTCAGAGTTTGCTATGATAATTTTTAAAGTGACACTGCACAATCTCCTGTTTACAATATCTTATAATTTGGTCTATGTTGTTTTTACCATTGAGGTCAATGAAGAAGGAAACAGTTCAATTTTTGAAATTTTGTCTGGGTATAAGCTAACAGTCCCTCTTACATTACATTCCACATGTCTGTGGAATGACCAGGGTGAAAAAAGCCGAGAAAGTAATACTTGTTCTTAATATGCTGCCATTGGTATTGCTTTGCTCCCAAAGGATAATTTCTTGAGAGGGGACAGCTCCCGTAAAGTTCAGCACCAGCAGCAGAGGAAACCCAGGAAAAAAACGAAGCCACCTGCACTTACCAAAAAACACAAGAAGAAGAGAAGGCGAGGCCCACGCCGGCCCCAGAAACCCATTCCTCCTGCAGTGCCCCAAGGGAACCTCACCATGCCTGCCAGTGTTTCACTGCCAGTAGAGATACCCCACATACGGTCAGTGCTGTTCCTGCCCACTTTCCCACTGCTGGCCTGAGCATTGCCAGTGAGCTCTGTACAAAGCTGCCAAGCAGCATCTGGAGCATGGCTAAAAATTGCATCTCTATGAGACTGTTGAAAAATACCTTTAGAGTGGGTCATTTTGGATTTGAGCAATGATTGGGTTTGGTGGGTAAAATATCTTGCTCCTGATATTGCCTCTTACATAGTTAATGAGTAGCTTAAGTGTAAGCTTCCTAAAGAAACTACCTAAAAGCATTTTTTTCCTAGATAATGGGGGGAAATGTGTGTGGGGAAGCATCCTTTGTAGATGGATATGCGCTGATAGTTGTCCTTTGGAGCAAGCAGAGTTGAACACCAGGGACTAATGTTCCTTTCTGTTCAGGAGCCCCTCCACACCAGAGCTCAGTGCCGATGAGCTGCCTGATGATATCGCCAATGAAATCACAGACATTCCACATGACTTGGAATTGAATCAGGAGGACTTCTCTGATGTCCTGCCGCGGCTGCCCGATGACTTGCAAGATTTTGATTTCTTTGAAGGTACCATTTTATTTTATGCTAGCATGAACACAGTCAGTGAACTGAAGAAGTGAGTGTTTCTAAACTGCATTTTGAGGAGTTGCTTGCTTTCCTACAGAGGTAATAAATTCTAGAGAAGGAAGTGTGCATTCGCTGTATTATTTGTGAGCTCTGAAGTAAAGCAGACTTTAAGAAATCTGTATGCATAGTTCTCTGCTTGCTCATATAATTACTTCTCTGAAAATCATAATTGGTTTAGTATTTTAATAATTCATTTTACATTTTTACTGCCATCAGTGTTACAGTTTAATCAAGAGTGTTCTCAGTAATGGCATCTTTCTGCCATCGAGTGGGGCTGGAATCACAGTCAATGTTGGCCTTTGATAAAAAGAGAATAGAGTGAGAATAAAATCTCTAAATATATTTTTAAACCTAACTTTTGATCAGAAATGTGCTTTAATTTCTGCATTCCAAAGCTCAGTGCCTATAACATATAACAAAGAAATTAGAACAGCCTGGAGTTGGGTACGTGATTTCTTTGATCATTTTCTGATACAACATGACATCAGACTGTGTTTGAATTGAAATTAACCTGAATTATACTGTCTGTGTAAATTTTAGGTCCAGGCTGTAATGTGGTAAGTAGAAAGACGGATTGTGGACCATGTGTTATTGCAGCATTGAAGAAGATCTTACTTAAGCATTTTTACTTTTAAATCTAGGAAGTTTAAGAGGCATCTCCTATTTTAGTATGTGGAAGAGAAGGGGGAGAGAGGGATTTCCATTGAACAGGGAGATGTAATTTCATGGTTTTCTTAGCTTGCTTGGCTAGTGAACACTGATGAATGATACTTTCTGTGTGCTGCAAGCCATGCTGGAAAGTTATCATACAATGCAACTCTGTACAGAACTGTCTGTATGTCTTCATCCTGAGCTTAGGGCCAGGATCCCCTGAGAGCAATGCACTTACTGGTGGTGTTCCTGTTTCTGCAGGTAAAAATGGAGATCTTCTTCCAACCACAGAAGAGGCTGAAGAACTGGAACGGGCCCTACAGGCTGTAACTTCTCTTGAGTGCCTGAGTACCATTGGAGTACTTACACAGACAGATGGTGTGCCAGTTCAGGAGCTGTCAGATAGAGCGATAGGGGTGTTCTCTACAGGTGCTGGAGCTCCAGGAATGCAGTCCTTGAGTCGAGAGGTTAACACGGATCTGGGGGAGCTGTTGAATGGGCGTATAGTACATGATAATTTCTCCGGTCTGGAGCTGGATGAGAACTTGCTCCGTTCTGCTACCTTGTCCAACCCACCTACGCCCCTGGCAGGGCAGATCCAGGGGCAGTTCTCAGCCCCAGCCAACGTTGGCCTTACTTCTGCCACTCTGATGAGCCAGAGTGGCCTTGGGGAGAGAGCCTTCCCGGGACAGTTTCATGGACTTCATGATGGCAGCCATGCCTCCCAGAGGCCCCACCCTGCCCAGCTGCTGAGCAAGGCAGATGACCTGATCACCTCACGACAGCAATACAGCAGTGACCATTCACACTCCTCACCCCATGGAAGCCATTATGATAGCGAGCATGTGCCGTCTCCCTACAGTGACCATATCACATCCCCTCACACCACATCCTTTTCTGGTGATAACTTGGCAGCTACCTTCTCAGCAGAGATGCCCATGATGGCACAGCACTTGCTCCCAACGCAGCTGGATGTGCCACTTAGCGGGGTGGTCAACCCCAGAACTCACTGGGGAAATCTTCCTGTCAATCTTGGGGACCCCTCTCCGTTTAGCAACCTTCTTGGTGCAGATGGACACCTCCTGTCCACCTCCCTGTCCACACCACCTACCACCTCGCACTCAGAGACCACACAGCCTGCCTTCGCCACTGTGACCCCCAACAGCTCCAGCGTGCTTCCGGGGTTACCGCAGACCAGTTTCAGTGGCATGGGTCCTGCCTCCGCTGAACTCATGGGCTCCACCTCCCCTAAACAACAGCTCCCTCAGTTCAGCGCAGCATTTGGGCACCAGCTGAGCTCCCACAGTGGCATTCCCAAGGACCTGCAGCCCAGCCACAGCTCCATAGCTCCTCCCACGGGCTTCGCAGTGACCGGTGCCACTGCTACCAGTACCAATAACGCATCTGCGCCCTTCACCACCTCCAGCTGAGCTTGTCTGCCTGGCTCCCTGCAGGTAGATGGGGGACCTGTGTTTTCTATCTTTCCTTTTTTCCTTTCTCTTTATTTTGTCTGTCTTCTCTTCCCTTTTTTTTAAGAGGGGGTTGAGAAGAAAACCCCTGCTTCAGTACTGACCAGGGTTAGCCCTCTGTGAACCTTGCTGTAGCATTCACATGTGCTTGTTAGGCACCGGTGCTCATTTATTGCAGGCAGGTTCACTGTTCCCCAATAATTCCTTAAGGTTACAGCACAGTTACTGGATGTAAATGATCTTAGCAGTAAGACCTAGAAATGGGAAGATACCTCAGATCACTGATGCATGTTACTGTTCCCTAGGGTTCGGATCAGTGCTTGCCATCCCATTAGCATCTGGTAGAAGGTTTTTCAGTGGGCAGAAGTCTCTTGATTTTTTTTTTTTAATTTACTATTTTTCCAAAGGTAGCATTTGGCACGGAAAACTTGGCTGCACACATTGATTTGAGAGTGGTGCACTGAAGTCCTAAATCGAGATCACGATTCAAGGATGAGTTTGACAGTTTCTTGAAACAATCTCTTGACCTCCTCTGTGTGTGTGTGTTTGGGGTGCAGGGAGCAGCGATTCCTTTTCTTCTTTTGGTGAAGAAGTAGTTGTCCCCTTCCAGAACTGGTCACTGTTCTTACTGCATGCTGATGTTTGGGGTTTTATTATTACCACGATTTGTAATTCATTGAGTAGCAAAGAGATCAGTTGACTGGTTGCCCATAAATTTGAAGGCTGTTATGAAGTTAGTCCAGGAAAACAAACAAAACAGAAGGATTGAAATATAGATCATGGATTAGAGAAGATTCCTGTGAGAAATTTCCTTCCTTGCTGAATTACTGTGGCCTTGTAGCACTGATGATTTGCCTTTTCAAATGTGTCTTTGTCCAGAACTCTTTGCCTGACAGCCTGACAGGAATTTCCCAACTGAAACAGGAGGAATTAGGTTGGTTTTCTGCCCATCCACACAAGTCTAGGTCAGACCCATTTTAAGTTTCAAATGGATTCATTTCTCACAATACATCTAACTAGTGAGACTTTCTTGGACAGTTTTTAATCCCCTAAGACCCATATGGTTTTTCCAACACTTGTAGGGTTTGATGCTCTGTTTGGGAAGCTGAATTTATGTAAGGAGCTAGCAGGTACCTATCAGCAGTCATGGCTCACCAAAAGAGAAATCACTAATGCAAAATAGGTAACAATTCCTTCTGTCTGCAGGATGGTTTTGTTTGTGCTGATCACCTGCTAATGACAGTATTCACTCTTTGGTAGTAATTGCAATTCCTAAAGAAAGGAGTCAGATAGGTTTTAGATTTCTTAAAATTATTATTTTTTAAATTTTGTTCTTTAAACCAAGAGGTAATAGCAGCAGAAATTCTGAGGTGTTTACTTGCATCTCCTTATCAAGAAGGAATTTGCTTATGACTCTCTAGGGCTCAAACTTACTACTGTACTCTGACTTTAACTGTAAAAGTAGCTCCTGTTTAATACAAGTCTCTACTCTTCTTGGTTTTTATCAGAGATGCAGATGACTGAAAGTAGAAAATTCTACATTTCAGTCTTGTACTGTAGATGATGGATTTTATTCTACCTGTGTGAATTCTAGTCTATTTCAGGAAATTAAGAGAACCAAGCACATGTAATAGGAAGGCCTAATAAACTTTCTGAGCAAAGGATCACAAAGTGAAGTTTAGTTGCTATAGAAATTCATTTTGTTAGCAGTCAGGCACACACCAAAATATCTGACCCAAACCTCTCCTTCCATCTTCCTAAGGAAGAGAGTTTAAATGGGATAGATCTTGTGTCTTCTTACTATTGTAGCAGTCATATTATCCCTCTTTTCTTGAATGATCTGTCCTTTAAATATAAAAGAGTATGGATGATGCATATGTCTTTTTCTGAAATTGCAGGTGTATGTGGGTGGAAGAAACAAAAATTATTTTCATGTTTTCTGTTGCTATGAAGTCATTATTTCATACTTGGTAAAATAGATCTTAATAATATAAGCCGAATATTTTAACGGGTGATTTAAATATGTTTGTAACACTTAAATGTTTTTAAATCACATAAAAAGTTTAATTGAAGCCTATGAAATCCTGCTTGTGATTGTCCTGCTGATTGAGGAATGCCCAGTGATATTGTGAATTAGGCAAATCTGACAAGGCTTTTATTTATTTTTATATTGTGTTACCCATACTTTGTTGAGGAGACAAGTGTTTGATTTGCAGATGATTTTTGTTGTGTTCGTATACCTTCTTCAATGTGCTGGGATGTCTGACTGAAAAAAAGTGGAGAACTGGTATACCAAATGGTTAATTCCTTAATCTGCTTGTATATTCATGTAATTTTAGAGGCTGTTAATTTCTATGTATTGGTTTCAGGACTTTGGTCTTGAAATGGTTCTTGTGCCCGTCAAACTTCTAATGAAGCTGCAGCTAGTGCAGAGTATAATTACCCCACATCTTATTTCCTCTTTCTTGGCAAATGTTGGGGGGAAGAGAGGATAGGAACTGAGAGCCAAGTTCTGCTTGGTTGTGTTGGTATAAATTACAGAGGAGCTTTCCAGTCTAAGGTCACAGTGAGTTTGTACTGGTTTAACTCAGAACAGAACCCAGCTCCTAATCTGTGCATTGATTTAGACAGGGAATTTCAAAAGCTGTCACAGCTATGCAGGTCCATGATTACCATTTGAAATCAATGGCCTTTATGTACCTGCATTTCTTTAAAGTAGTTTGGGACTCAAGTCTCTTCCCCCACTTAGATTTCAATTTTTGTATATCGCTTGACGACTCTTCCCTGAAAACTGACTGCGTTACATTTTTCCATGAGCAAACTAAGTTTGCAATAAAGCTGCACTTTCAAAAATAAACTTCAGTTTGTATACAATTGAAATAGGAATCTCCCTGTCCTGTCTGCCACAGAGTTCTGAAACAGGCCACCACTCCTGCCTTTTCCTGGTTCACTTCTCATTTTTTCACTACCACCAATTTCATGGTTACATGGCTGCCAAGCAGTTACGGGTCTTGATCTTATAGCTTTACAAGGTGGATCATTCCAGGTGGGCTTCTACACCCACTCAATCTGCTGACTTCAGTGCATCAGTGTCTTACTGTTGGATGCAGGAGATCTAATCGAGAGGTATGTGTAGTCAGAGATACTTCACACTTCTTCCTCTGGGAAATCCTGCTGCTCTGGTTAAGGTGGCCCTTGAGGCTGCTATTTATGTGGTTCCTGAGTAGATTCCATGCTCCCTCACAAATGCTTTTGAGTATCAGCTCTTACAGAAATTAGCATTCTTGTCACCCCTTCACCAAAGAGCCAGTGTAGCAATTTCAGATGCTCAATACCTGTTGTGCCCTTTATGTGTTGACAAATGGAATAAGGCTAATTGAACCTAAAAGTTAATTTTTTCACATAAGATTGGAGGTTTAAAGAATTAAAAACATTAGAATAGAGTATGAGTTACATAATTTTGCAATAATAGCACCTCAGTTAGTCTCTGTGCAAAGTACTTAACACAAGATGAATTTCAACAGTGTACAGAGGCTTATCAGGAGTGGCTTCATGCTCTCCTGGTGTATAAGGCATTCTTTAAGACATGCTTTGATATTTCCTTTCACCTAGGAAGGTCTTACACCATCTTTGAGGGAAACAATATGCACTTAGATACCTCAAAGTTGATTTGTTCTTTGGCTTCATAACTATGATACAAGAACTTTGTCTCCTCTTGCCTTCCAGTTCCTCCAGGTCCTTGCTTAGATCCCTTCTATGTATTGCTGAACACAAAGGCATTTAAATTGATAATGCTGAGAGGTAGCACAGTTGTGGGTCTGCCTCAGGCACTGCAGGGAAAATGGCAACAACTAGATTTCCAACTGAAAATGGAGATTTGCAGTTCTTATTTGGAAAGCACTGAAAGCCCTGAGAAGCTTATTTCCTGCTAGGCAAAAATCAGAGAAAAGAAATTGTCAAAGAAGAATTGTACCTAATAGCAAAGAGAAGCCAAGGGAAGTGGCCTTTAATTTATTTTTTTTAATAAAAGGAAGATGAGTATTGAAAAATTAGGATATTCTGTTGTGAGCTGTCACTGGCTTTAGGGGTGTGGCCAAGGCAAAAGACCTAGGACTGAACATGCAAACCAGTAGCGAAATTCAGTTTGAAGCTTCATCTTGCTGTAACCACACCTAAATGCATTCTGGAATTGAATCTGCTTGCCGAGAGAGTCCTGCAAAGGTGTACAATAGACAGTGGGCAGTTTTCTTCCTTGAGAAGCTGGCCCTGGTGGCTACCTATGCTGCTTCTGAGCTCCAGCTGCTCCCTGAGCTCCTGCAGCCTCCTTGCTGCTGCATATCCCTGTAGGCATTGTCAGGCCTCCACGGGTATTTCTCCCTTTGTGCTGCAGTGAGCTAAATCCACTCATGAATTCTCCAATAGTATGAGCCTTTGGGCAGAAGGAAAAATTTTTAGAAGAGCAGCTACCTGCAGTTAACCTTTCAAGACTTGCAGGACAGTGGTAGGTGCTTTCAGCCGACAAACAATAGAAAAGTTACCTGCAGTGACCTTCGGTAGTGAGACATTTGTGTGACTGTCCAGGCATCTTCCCTGGTGGAACTGGGGTGTTTTTCCTTTTGTATTTCTACATGTGAGGGAGTCTCCTGTGCAGACCTGTTGCAAGGTCCAGTGGTGGCAGAAATAGTAACTGAAGGAATAGTTTGGTGCTGGCCAGATCTTCAGATCTTTCTCATCTTCTGATCACAAGGTCTTTCTGATCTTCTGGGTAACATTTAATGATGAGGATTTGTGGGCTACTTCTTGTACCTCCTTTATTTCCTTCCACTCCACATTCTTCATCATTCTTGCTTCTATTTTCCCATTCTTAGACAGTTTTCCAATGTAAGTTATGCCAGCTGGTAAGTCTTCTGTGGTTCTGAGTGAATCTGCAAAATGAAAAGGAGGAGAGGTTTCTGCAATTT